TGAGCCTGCTCCTCTGGGCCTGGGGGCGCGGGGCTCAGCAGTACCTCGGGCTGTAAAGGCTGCGGGCCACTGCCATCCGCTCCGCCCTTCTCAGCAGCGGGGCTGTCGCTGCAGGAGAAAGCGCTCCTATTCAAACTGGGCGTCATAACGCAAGCAGCTATGTGTCTGGGAAGAACCATCACTGAAAGGGCCACTGTTCACGGGCTCCACCCTATGCCAGCAGGCCCCCGACGCAGGACACAGCAGGCAGCCCGCTGAACCTCCCACAGCCCAATGCAGCGGGGTCGCTCCCTTTGCCTCCGGCACCCCGGCCAGGCTTCTGGACAGTGGGGCTGGTCACCGGGACAGAACAGGGGAGGATCCTGTACAAGGAGCTAGGTAATGAGGTCGCTACTGAGCCTGCCAGGGGCTTACGCTGCCTTGGAACATTCAAACCGAAACACAGGGCTCGAGCCTGAGAGACAGTGAGGACACGGAGGACCTCTGCAAGTCACCAGGACGCCGGTGGTGGCTGACTCCATGGAATACACAGGAAGCAGACAGCAGTCTCCAGTGACAGTCACCAAAGAGCCGGTTCTCCCCACGCAGGGCACAGGGCAGGGCTATCCTTCCTGGCCCCATGAAGTCGGGTGGGGCCACGCAGGCCACGGTGAAACCATCCAGAGTTCCCCTCCCCTCTCTCAGGGCGGACAAGGTGGGGAGAAAGGGTCACCGGAAGGGCACTCCCCACACCGCAGTCACTGAAGATGGGGTGTTGTTGGAAACCAGCACCAAGATCCCCTCTGGGTTTCCAGTCACCTGATTAGCAGAGAGAACAGGAGGGTCGACAAGGCAGCTCAGAGAAACGACATTAGCACTGCACACCCTCCACAGAGAAAAGTGTTACATTCAGAGGCCACTGCACTCCCTTCCCAGCTGCGACTTTTCAAACATGACTCGCTCGCAGCAGGTTTCAATCAGAGCAGCTATTAGTAAGTCAGCTGTGTGCTAACACAATACAGCAGAAGACACTCAGAATTTCGTAAAGAATCCTTACGAAGACTGCAGTGCACCTCAGGTAAAAACCTTCACTAAGTGCCCTATCTTCTCTCAGAAGGATTTAACAAGAGTGGGCACCTTCTGCTACTCTGCATAGAATGACCCTGGGAACAACAAGCTTGGAATGGTTCAGAAGACCCTTTACAAACCTGACATACTGATTTCTGTAGGCTGCAAAATGTTTTTCAAAAACACCAGCTGTTGCACATAATGGCATAAAAAAATCTGTTTTCCTGGTTTCTTTTACTATTCAAATGCAGAATAAAATAAATGCTGAATACATATCAAACGTGTTATTTTAACTTGCCTTGGTTCAGTGCAGGGAAGAAGTTTATTTTGTTTTCCTCTAATTATTTTAACAAGCTAGAGTCAAGGTCAATTGTTTGAAATGTCACTAAGCTGCTCTTTTCAGAGCATGTATTAAAACAATTATGCAAGAATTTCCCAAAGTGTGATATTGTGCTTGGCAAACTAAGAAACGTGGGGAAATCACATGGACGTCAGCCACAGGCAGCTGGGCATAAGGTCATCTCTGCATGTGCTAGAGGCTTCAGCAGTGGCCAGCAAGGCAGAAACACCCAGAGCTTCTAAGTTCCATTTGGTATTTGTTAAAGTCTGTTCAGTCACTCAAATCAATGGAACATGAGGCCATTGTCTGTACAGCTCGTTACTAGAGAAAGCTGATAATCTTATTAGAAAGGTCTGCACCTGCCTGCCATTGCTGAAGACACTGCCTAATTGATTACAGAGCAGAAAACAAACATCAGAGCCACACAGTGAAACTTTCACTTCTTACAAAGTTAGAGAAAAGCTGAGAGAGGTGCAGAGTGATGAACATAAACTGCATCTGCGAAGAAGAAAGGAGTCTGGTTTTAAGACACTAATGGGGTAGAGCAGGGCTGGCCGGGGGTGGGAGTGGGGAGACGTAGGAAGGTGCCCCAAACCCACCTCAAATAAGTGTGGTTCTGGACGATCACCACTGTGGTGATTATGAAATTAGGTCTGAAAAGGGAGTTTTCTAAGCCACTCTTAAAAGGTCACGTGCTGGGAGATTGTTAATATTCTTGAAATGGCAAAATTACAGAATTGGAGAGATCGGTGGTTGCCAGGGGTAGGGGTGGGGTAACTATGAAGGGGTAGCCCCAGGGAGATCACTGAGGTGACGGGACCCTCTGTCTCCTGACTGCAGGGATGTCTGCACAACCTGCATGCGAGAGGGCGACAGGACTCTGCATGTGTCAACTCCCTGCCAGCGTCCTGATGTTGATATTGTGCTACAGTTATGAAAGATGTACTATTGGGGGACATGGGGGAAAGTGTGCATGAGCCTCTCTCTACGATCTTTGCAAGTTCCTGTGAATCCATAATTACTTCAAAGTACAAAGTTTTACTTTTTAAAGGGTTTCTTTTCTTAGACTTTGAACCAGACTCTTATTATTTCCTCTGTGTACCATGATTTGAAATATTTTATCTACCAAACTGCATATATAAAGACAATTCCTTTGCCCATATACATTGATCAAATATGTATCTGTCTTAGCTCATTAAAGGTGGAGACCATTTCACCCTCTCTGCAACCCCAAATCATCTACTAAGATACCCGACTTGGACTCTCTGGGCACCAACCCCCAGGTGACATGCTCAATTCAAAGATTATGCACAGTTATAGGCCAGGATCATTATAAAAATGAGCCCTTTCCCAGGGAGGTGAGAGTTGTATAAATATGTGCTATTTCCAAGTAATAATGGAAATGACAGTGAAAGCTGACAAGCGGCTGGCGCTCTGCACAGGGAGCCACCGCGGCCGGCCGGGCAGGTACCTGCATCCGCCTCGTCCTCCCCCAGGTTCAGCACGATGATGCAGATGTGCTTCCTCAGCTGGCGCGTGTTGGAGAACTTCCGCGAGCACTTGGGGCACTCCAGGCGGCTTGGGGCCGGGCCGCCGCCCTCCTCCAGGGCCAGCGGGCAGGCCTCGCTCGGACCGGCGAAGCTTCCCACCGGCTCCTCCTCGGCACTTGGCTTCTTCGTGGACCCCTTGGGCCTGCCGCGCTTCCTCTTCGTGACTGACAGCTCTACAAGGAAACCAGAGGGCACGATGCAGTCACACGGGGCGAGTGCAGGGCCGCAGACCTCCCAACCGTGGAAATAGGTTTGGTGTCAAGTTTTATTAAAAATGAAAAGCTCAAGGCCATTCCAGAAATTAACAGATGCAAATAATACCTTTAGTGCTAATATCTTTGCATCTGTATGCTAATATTCAGGGTTGGGCAAAAGTAGGTGTACAGTTGTTCACATGGAAAATAATACAATGATTAGTAAATAATAATACAAGAATAAATTGTTTCACAAACTCACAACTGTAAACCTACTTTTGCCCACCCCCCGTATAATCAATTTTGTTAATGTTGTGAGTTCAGGAATCATTTTAGCAGAACCTCTGCACAGGCTGTCTCCAGGCCATAGCCTCACTTCAATCCAAGGTCTCGGAAACCACCAAAGGACTTCTCTGAAAGGGTTTCCAGAGGCTGCCCAGCTTTTCATGCTCTGAACGCATTACAAAACTAGTCAGATTATTTCAAAGCATCATAATTATCACAGCCAAATTGTTCTGATAAAGAGGAGATAAAATAATTATAATCTAAAACCACAAATTACAGAACTGAAGGCAATAACAGTATTTCTCGAGTTTCCTAGAAGCCTAGTGATTTAATGTCATGATCCAAGCTACTGTAGAGCAAGTTTCAGATCATTTTACAACTTGTATTTCTTCTTGCATAGCATTTGTTTCTAAGGCATTCGTCTCCAGAATGCAGGTGGGGACTAAGAGGGGGGAGTGAGCCCTGACTGGTGTGCTCAGTGGTTGAGCGTTATCACGTGCACCAAGAGGTCGCTGGCTACATTCCCGGTCAGGGCACAGACCTGGGTTATGGGCTCGATCCCCATAGGGGCAAACAGGAGGCAGCCCATTGATGTTTCTCTCTTGTGTGGATATTTCTCTCTCTCTCTTCCTTTCCCTTCATCTTTCTCTAAAAATCAACAAAAACATTTTTCTTTTTTTAATTAAAAAGAGGAGTGAGCGGGATCAGGAGCATCATGCTGTGGTGATGGTGGTGTGGTCCTAGATGATGTAACTTGAGAGGAACGTTGAGTGAGGCCAAGCAGGGAGTCGGCACCCCCTGGCTGACACCCCATTTTAGAGTCACTTGTGTGGCTGAGTGAAGCAGGGAGCTTCAGCTGTCCTCTTTGAGTCTGAACATCAGGGCAGGGGAAGGGGCCTTAGGTTCTAGCACCATCTTGGGGGAATGGTCATCTGCAAAATTCGGATACCTCCAAAGTCCCTCCCTGCTCTCTCTATGGCTGTGGCTGTGGCTCTGCACAGCAAAGCATCAGCCACTGCCCACTGCTGCCACAGTGAGGAACCCTTACATGGGTCACTGCTGCTCCCAAATCAGAGAGGGAGGCCACAGGACAGTCTGGAACAGTCTGCAGGGAAAGGGCAGCATGGCCGTGTGGGCTCTGGATGAAGCAGCAGGCTCTGGCACAGGACCCCAGAACTCAGGGTCACTGAGAGTGAGAATGGGAGACTTCTGCTGAGCTGTGGAGCCAAGGGTAGGTCAAGCGTGACCGAGAGATCCACACCAGAGCCTTCCTCAGCCAGGGCAGCCAGCACAGTCACTGCCTTCCCTCCATCTCACTGGACGTGCTGGGGAAAGAATGGGGTGGTGGGAGAGGAGGGAAGGCACGCGGAGGGGCCAGGGGAAAAGGCACGGGCACAAGTCCCTCTGATCCCTTTGATTCACCAGGGAGGCTGGCAGGGAGGAAAGGAAGGGGGTGGGCAGGTAAGGGCAAATCCTTTACCTAGGAGTCACGAAAACTTTTTTGCTTACTATTATTTACAACAGCATGTACTGTGCAACCTATGGAAGCAGCAGTGAATAGTCAGAGAAGCAGAATTAGAGAGAGGGCTATGAGACAGCCGGCTTGTGTCACGTCAGCTGAGCTGCAGAGACATGTTGCACAAGAGTGTACAGAAGTCTGTGGCCCGGGCTCAACCCAGTGACACTCTGCACTGTGCCTGAGCAAACACAAGCTACTCCTCCGAAACGCTCTAGGAGGGGAAGCAGCCTGACCCAATGAGCAGTGTGGCCTCTGGCCTCGGCTATGGTGACTGCCTGAAGGGGGTGTCTGTTTGCTGACTAAAGCACTCACTGTGTGCAAGATCGGTGCCCACCACGTAGGAGGAGCACAGCACAGTCACCAGCATGAGTTCTCTGTGTGTCTCCTCCCACAGTCTGGGGACTTGCTGAAGGCAGTCCTGTCCTGATTGGTTTTATCCCTAGTCCCAGTACCTGACCTGGTGTCCTGTACAGCAGGCACCGGGTAAATCCTGGGGAATTAAACAGACGAGCAGTGTGCAATCCAGCCACCAAGGAAGAAACATAAAATCAGCCCAGAGAGCTTTGGAAAGCCTCTAACACAATGGTGACAAAACTAATCTTACACCTTGCTGCATCCATAATTCAGGTCCTCAAGACCAATTAGCTCGCTAAAAATGAAATATTCATAAAGGAGCTTGGAATTTAAGCACTGAAAACGAGGTGATGCTGTCAACTCCCCACATTTCATAGAAGAGCTGAGAATCTTGGAAATGGGCAAGGGAAATTTGTAAACTCTCAATCAAAACATTTTAATAATGGCCTTACTTCCAACTCTTCTTCCTGCTCCCTGGATTCCTTTATTTAGTCTGTCACTGAACTCTGGATTTTGTCCTAAAGATGTCTACCCTGTCGCCCGATCCCCGAACACCAGCTCCGGAGCCCAGCCTCCTGCTCCATCTTTCTCACCTCCTCCCGTAGCCTACCATTCCCTCGCTCTAGAACCTTCCATTCCTCTTGAAGACTTAGCCCCATAACTCTCAGACCTGGCTTTCTAGGTCCTTTACCACATGGTTCAACCCTGCATGCACAGCACACACGCACACGCACACGCAAACGCACACACATGTTGCACCCCCGCCCCCACTCAGTGCAATGTTATAGGCCTCCCTAAATACGTAGGTAATGCCTGTCCCATTTTACTTAGCTGTGCCATTCTCCCTGCCTGTGACTACATCCTGTACCCCTAATCAGACCCCAAACCCAACTCAAATCCTAACATTTCACGCCCCGTTCAAATCCCAGCGCCTCTTCCATGAGGCGGTCCCATTATGAAGCAGCTCCGCCCTCTCCCAGCCGGCCTCCCATTCACACGGGGAGGCGCACACAGGGCCCGGGCAAGCTCGCTCTGCCGCTTCCGGTGTTTCTCTTTTCCCACCTTATATTACACATCCTGAGGTTTGAGCTGGCCTTTAATTACTGGCCCCAGGGTCTCAAGGAGAGCTGGGTATGCAATAGACGCTTGTTTATTAAGTTTATGAATAAATAATGGTCAATAAGCACACTGATCAGCAGCTTAATGGTAGTGTTGATATGAACTTCTAGGCCCAAAATGGAGCTGCTCCTGCCCCGGGTGCCATGTCAGCAAACCCTGTAAATGCTCCGTTGCCCAGAAACACAGTGTGTGCCCTGGGCCACCCCCAAACGCCGAGCCACTCAGCCTCTGAACTTCCTTCTCATTCTGACTCTTACCCTCTAAAAGCTCCTGCCTCCCACCCCTTTTGTAGTTCTCTGAATGGAGACTGTCCACTTCATGAAGTATTTTTTTTTAAATATATCTTTATTGATCTCAGAGAGAAGAAAGGAGAGGGAGAGAGAGAGAAACATCAATGATGAGAGAGTCACTGATCGGCTGCCTCCTGCACGCCCCCGACTGGGGATCGAGCCCACAACCCGGGCATGTGCCCTGACCGGGAATCGAACCCCGATCGCCTGGATCCCAGGTTGACGCTCAACCACTGAGCCACACCCAGCCGGGCCACTACATGAAGTATTAATTAAAGTTTGCTTGTATCACTTTAATCTATTAACAATGGGGAAAGAATTTGGAAAATAAGTCATTTCCTATGGCCCAAGTTTCCAATAGAAAGGGGTGAGCAAGTGCATCTCAACCCTGTCCCACATCCACAGGGTAGAGACCACATCCCCAAGTCAGAGAATAGTCCTTGCAGATCCAGGGCCAAGTGCCAGCAAGGGACAGAGAATCAGCCAAAGGTTTTTATTTAATCAAGAGACAATGTGAGCCTGGTGAAAGAAATAGCCCAACATTATCAAAAATCTAATAACGGAAGCCCTTTATTTGTACATCGCTCAAGTCTGCAAGGTACTTTCCCAGCTATTATCTCACTGTATCTGCGAAACAGTCTGAAGGGATGATGGAGCAGATGTAATTTCCACCCCAGGAAGAGACACGAGGGTCCCACAGGCTCAGTGACTGGGCCCGTGTTCCAGAAGCAGCGGCTGCGCTAACAAAGCCGGGACCTGGGCTTCCTTACCCCCTGCCCAATTTTTCTGCTAAGTCACGTAGCCTGAGGTGGGTTCTAGACAGGCAAGTGGAGCCAGTATGTAGGGTGCTGAGAATCTTGGCTAAATGAGGCCGACCTGGGTTCAAATCACCCCAGAACCTCGGTTTCTAACATGAAAAATAAACACACACTGACTCTATTTTATAGAGTCACCATTAATATGAGAAATCCACCAAAATGCAGGGCACAGTGCTTGGGAGGTGATCGATAAATGACAACTGTCTACTATGACAGACACAGTCATTAGTATTCTGACTGGACTCTCTCTGCAGAAACTGGGCCCTTCCCAGCCAGGCCGGGGTGGGAGCACGTGATCCTCGATGTACACCCATTCCTGTCCATTAGGGCCCTTCTCCTCATGTCCTCATTTTAAAATATCTCACACACCAATACAGAAGGAGGGCTCCGTTATGCCTGAACCACAGCAGGGCCAGTCCTCCAGTCTCTCACTTTGCAGCTCAATCTCTAGTCAAACCAACTGGAGAATTTAGAAAACTCCTGAACACTAACACTGTCAGGCCTGTCAATCTCTCTGACATTTATTTCCAACCGGCCCAGGAGCAACAGGGAGATGATGAATTATTTATCAGACACGAGGGAGCATGGGCCTTT